TACAGGGAACTGGTAATGCACAGGGTTACTTGGAAATACACAAGCGTGCATTTCTAAGAAAGTCTTTAACAATGTCGTTTGAATGCCAACCAAGCATTCTTTTGAAGTGTGTCATTGTTCCGATGAAATGTTCATCTTTAACGAGCTGCCAAACCTGTGGATTATCAAATTCACCGGCCTTTATCTTTTCAAGTGACGGGCTAGGAAATGCTGAAATGAGATACTTGAAACAGTCTCCTTTAATTGGCAAAGCTTTAACAAATTGCTTCATAAGACCCGTTTTATATGCAGAGGTGGAAATATAATGCTCTCTCTTCGACAAGTGTCTGATGTAGAATGTTTGAATTCCCAGGTTTTTGTTCAGATCTTGGTGGCCGGTTTGACTGCACACAACGGTTCTCACGAGCTGTGCTATCCCACACGAGCTGGTCTCGCGAGCTGTGCTGTCTAAAAGGGTAGAAAACTGCTCTTTTCCTATAAAATTATACTATCAACGATTCTAACATAAACTTTTAAACATAAACACAGCACATTTATGTGTTATCATTCTCCCATAAGAGAAATGTTTAATATTCCTACTTATACTTAAAAACTTAAGGTTATTCGTAGTCCCTCTCCTCTATTAAAGGTTTTAGGCGATCTGTCTGCGACCCTCCCCTCTTCGATACGGCACTGGATATCTATAGAATTTCCTTATGTTCGTTCTATTTTTTAAAGAAAAACTGAATTAGGTTTGATTTTATGTATTTCTTCACTTTTTAAGTACATAATTAAGTATGAAAATGTTTTTCCCCCTTTGCAGTATACACTGTTTTACATTGTGTGGAATATTTGGTCTAATTGAGGTACTGAGTTTTGATATCCCTGATATAATCTATCGTTTTAAAGAATGGGAGAAATCAAACTTACTCATCTTTCTCTAGTTCATTCTAGTGCAAGTTCGGGCAAACTAAATTTCACGGCTCTAAAACCGTTCTTACAGTTACTTACTTTTCTGTCTTTTGATCTTCTAAGTAAAATTAATTAAAATTTATAACGTATTTAAAATTTTTGAGCTTTTAAACTATTTTTAACTTCCCTCCTTCATTAGCAAGAAATGGCAGTTTTCAAAAAATTGAAACACATCTGGCTACACTTCGACATCCCTGTTCAATAGAAATTACTAGTGCATCCAAGTTATTGAGAACTTGAGATTTTAGAACTGCAGTGCGATACTGATTTAAGAGAATTGCATAGTTGTGAAGAAATATACAAATTCCACAATGTTTTTAATTCATACAAATTTGGCAAACAGGGATTTGCTTCAGAAATGTTGGGTTATTGTTGGATGAAGCTACATATACGAATAAGCATTCAGTGCGGTCTTCCTGTTTTTATACTTGATTTGGGGAAAGTTTTATACTCGTTGTAAAAAAATAAAAATACAAGAAGTTTGACTCTCATACGATAAAAACTGACCAGGATATGTAATTTCAAAATTTGCAATTTTTGATGCCGTTTTCAACTTGAAGGATCGATTAATTAATTTAGAATGATTCGAAGTAATGAACTTATGTACGGTGCTGCAAAAAAATTAGTACAATTTAACACGCCGTATATGGAAGTCATGTTTGGTCTGCATCAGATTTTATTAAATTAAAAATAAAACAAATTAAATTCCGCTAAGAATAAATTTTATCTAAAAATAGTATTTCTATGTATGACCCGTCCTTCTTTCAATCCCAAATGGGGCCTTCAACCAAAACGTTTGCGCAACGTGCTTAATTATTTCCCAATAAGTGTTTTTTTTTATTTTTATTTTTTTTATTTATTTATTTATTTATTTTTACTATAACTGCAATAGAACTATGGAGGTAAGATGGACTAGCCCTAAACAAGCTTCTCCCGTACCCTGCTCTGAAGCACCGGCGATCCCTACGTGGTGACCAAAACATTGAGTCATTTACCATTGAGTTCAATGGGATTTAACGCGCTCGGATGTAAACATTTTGTAATTACGTCGTAAATATACATATAAATGTATATATTTTCTTTTTCTACAACACTTCAGAGTCCTAAGTATATGAAAACAACATATTTTTAAACAACATTCCATTCTGAACGGAATTAAATGCCATACTTTTCACGGGACAGTTTTCTCAAAATGGTTTAATTTGAATGAAATATTTTCACAAGTTTTCGTTAACTACATTAGAAAAAAAATTAAGGTAATTCGATTTTATTCGGTTAAGGTACAAAAATTAAGATCAAAGTTTATTGTATTATTAATATTAAAATTATGCATTATTTCTTTTCTATTTATAGAGCTTCTTCCTAAAATACTTCCTTAAATGTGACATGATTTTTTGGTTTCTGAGGCATCTTTTAAATCGAAAAATGTAAGTCAATTTATAATTAATGCTCTATTCTAATCGGTTCGTTTTAAATTAGAGAATTATTAGGAATTAGCGAAATACTTTAAATAGTACTTGACCTTCACTGAACATTTCTGAAAGGGAATAAAATAAGTTTTTTTTAAGTATTATTTAAAACTTGTAACTGAGTTATTATAAAATGTAAGGGGAATAATTCTTTTAATTATACTTATCAGATTTTTTTACCCTTCATTTCAACAATACATATTCCAAAACTCTTTATTACGTTCTTAAGTGCGCATCTCATAGCAGTTGCTTTACAATACCTTTTAACAGATTGTTTTCCAATACGAACAATTCTTACTTAAATAGTTTTATAATGTATTTGTCAACAGGATTTCAATTTATGTTTACAATTCAATATTAAGATTATTATATATTTAGATAACATTTATAATCATTATAAATTAGATACATTTAATAATTAGATTTCTTCACAGTACTTTCACAGTTGTTTATAAGTGAATAAATTCTTCATTTCAAACACATTTATAAATAATTTAATGATCTGAGTACGTTAAGAAGCCAGCATAAAACTCGAATTTCCGAGAAAAAAAAGACTTGCGTGGGAAACATTTAACAATCTGGAATCAATAAGAGGACCATTCATGATCGGACCTCCTTTGGCAGGATATACAAATGTTTTCACCTTCGTCGATTACCCTATTTTCAAATTCTTAATAAGCTGTCTTGATGATGTAGCACGTTCACATGGTCACATCATCTTGACCGCACATGGTACTTTCGCCAAATTCGCAAATGTATCCCTTTTCTGTTCCACACATTTGTGTAAAACTGTACATAATTTTACACAAATGTGTGGTTCCAAATCAAGGGAAAGCTAACTTATTGGCATCTCTGTGTGTATATTTATTAATTTTGACGAGGATTGCAGCATTTGATGGTAATTTTATTTTTAATTAACGCAAATAAGTAAAACGTGTAAGCCCAAAGTGATTATTTTTCAGATATATAAAATTAAAACGATGAGTTTAAAATGAGCAGCAGTAAAGCCTCTTCTCTAAAAAATTTTTAAAAATACATGTTACAATAATATATGGATGTGAAAAAAAAATTTGTTTTATTTAAAACATTTTGGCGTTTGGAAAATAAAATAAAAGTAGCGAATACTCTATCAAGGGTATCGAAAGACGTATACAATTTTAAATGTACCGTAAGGTATTTTTCATTCTTTAAGCACAACATTTTTCTTAAAATCTATATTTTTGTAGTTCAACAGCTTAGAATTTTATAAAACAAATTCATAATCAAAATCGCTGTTGTTAGTTATCGAAAAATAACCAAGATGTGATTTTCGCGTAAATGTCACTAAACTATACAAATTGCTATTATCCATCACACTATGAATGTTTCTTTCATGCGAAAGTGTCCCTTTTTCGATTTGTATGGAACTGTCGTGTGTCGAAATACTGTCAGAACCCTGTCAAGCGAGCTTCTGAATGTAAACATAGAACACCCTATCTGGTGACCCAAGCTTCAAAGCAGTGCTTCACTTCTAGCGCCGGTTGGCCCCTCTTTCCTTTTCTACCTCAATGAATAGAACGACAATAGCAAAATTGTAGAAAATGACAAAACTAGAACCGAATCAAATTTTAACATAAAGTTATGAAGAAAGAAAGATTCCTACACCTAGCTAGAAGTGCGGGTGCAGAAAAAGATGGACGGGCAAATATTCTTTTGTTACTAATAATTACGATCGCTTGCCAATATATTTTTGGCCTCAAAATCAAGTTGCCGCTAAGAAACGTGAGAATTTTAATCTTCTTTAAACTGAGAATACATACGAGGTTTTGAAAACTGCATTTCTTTTCCGTATGCTAAGTTGCATCATTTCAAAAACCAGTATATAGGTGTGTGTTTACTGTATGAAATAATTACCTGCTGTATTTTAGCGCTGTGTGTCACTAATGTTATTGCCATCAGTCACTTTCAAATTTGTGCAAGATTCCTCCTTTATATTTTTTTCACCCCGCCCCCTTTTTTCGTCCTCTTGCTGTTTTGCCGTTGTAAATCGCTGGTACTGAATCAGTGGATACGGTGACATAATTGCATACGCAGTTATCATTCAGATTGTATGCTACACTCCTCAACGTTTTTCATTAACACTTGTTATTCGATTTGTAGAATACATTTGTTTTTCACTGGTATCTATCTAGAGCCGATATATGTTGCATCTACCAAAATTATATAAGACATACTAGGCAGCTTCAATTTTATTGAAATGCAGAATTGAATCTTGCAGAAAGGAAAAATATTCTTCATGAAGATGTCATAGTATACCATAAGACTGCCATAAGACAGAATCATAACCTTCAAAAGCATCTTTACATACTTTCTCGTGCTTCACTGCAAGCTTAAAATATTAATATTATTTGCACTAATTGTGTTTATGATTCTGTAATAATTTGCTCATATGTAATTTCTAAACTGATCGCAATTTATTTTTAATGAGATAAAATTTTCGTTAAAATAACACCAAACCATTGTAATTGTCTTCTTTTCTGTAAAGAATACATTTTAGGCACATATCATAATTTGAGCTCCGTTTCTTATTGTATTATTCAGGAGGAGCTCCGCATCGTTTGCTGGAAATTTCAGCTCCTAGTTCACAGACTTCGGCGATAATGAAAGAGCTGCACCCGGGTACTTCTTACGTTCTGAAAGTGGTCGCAGAGAACGCTGTTGGTAGAGGCGAACCATCTGATGCTGCATTCTTCAAGACAGGGGAAGAAGGTGATTATACTTTCTTTTTTAAAACTTATTTTGCTTGAAAGAAATATGCTTGGATATTTGTGGCAAATAATGCATATGAATACAGTTTAGAGAGACTTAAGGTAAAATATTTGAAAATTATTTATTTTTTGTACTAGTTAACTAGTTTTACTTGCTAAAAGTTTTGAGAACTTAGCGATTTCATTTGTGTATTAACTTTTGCTGTACTATTAGTTACTACATTCTATCCTCTTTTTATTTCGCAGAACCCAGTTCGCCGCCAGCCGATATTATAGCCGAACCAAAAGGTTCTTCTACTATTCGAGTGTCTTGGAAGGTAAAGAGGATTCATATTCTGTTCCTGTTTAAAATGGAATTTTTCTCTTTTGAATTGTTTTTGAGTTTCTAATCTCAGATTATATTTTGAAGAGAGTAGAATTTTAAATAAATGTGAAAAAGAGAACAAATACCTGATATTGAAATTCTTTGTTGAATTTTCATTTTTCTCACCTTCAAAAATTGTATAAATGGATAATATTTCTAAAAATGGCTAATAATATATTGAACAGTAAAACACGTCTGCATTTTAACTAACATACAAAACTGAATTAAAAAAAAACTTGGTATTAGTACTATTTCGTTTAAACTGGATGAAATAAAGAACATAAAATAGTAAAATTTTCAAGATGAAGGCTACTGGAATAGTATCTTACAATAATAATTATCTCAAATTGGCATTTATATTTGTTTTTATTAATCAGTTGCTGTAATCTTAAATTTTTCCTAACCTTTTTTAAAGTGTATAATACCACTAAACTGAGTTTTCATTTCGACAGCCACCACCCAAGGACAGCTGGAATGGTGAACTAAAGGGTTATTACATCGGCTACAAGTCCCGAGATTCTAACCAGCCTTATTCCTACAAAACCATGGAGTATTTGCCAGAAGTGCAGCAGGAGTTCTTTCTCACCAATCTTTTGAAGGCGTCAGATTACAGTGTCGTCGTCAAAGCTTTCAACTCGGCCGGAAGTGGACCGCCTTCGCACGAACTGTATGTTAGGACTCTTGATGGAGGTGAATTGAAAGGCTTTTATTGCTTTACACCAAAAAGAAAACAAAGATTTAATGCTAGTCAGAAATTTTATTTGGGGACATTCTCGGAATTTTAGTACTCAGTCGAATATTTAAAAAAGATATTCTTTTATAAATGTTTTGCCTGAGGGAAAAAAACTTTATAAGTATCTTGCTTAATTTACTTTTTAATGATATTTGAAATTTTTCTTTATCTTATAAAAGCTATTGAAGGTCACTAGATAAAGTGCTTTTAATCAGAAAGATGGTGTTGGGAAGACGGAATTCTACCGGCGAAAATTTTAAACAATTGCACATTTTTTGAAAACTCAACTAACTTCAAAATCATTTGTCATTATAACTTTTTTAATATTCTGCCGCCAAGTCTTCTTTTTCTTATTTTTACAACAGTTACACTTCATGACTAAGAAATAGCGTTTGAAATTAAACAATTTTTATGTAGGAGAAGCATAAAAAATAGAGGCATACTTATGTATGTATATATTACTAATTCCATCCATAACTCATCTAAGTGAATCTTTAGTGAAAATATATTATTTGAAAAAATGTAAAATTTCACTTTTATAAGTTAAATAATTTATTGAAGGAAATAAAAACGTTATTTTGAAAAAGAAAAATTTTTCAATTATTTTATTACTAAAGCCTTTGCACCTTACCTGAAGAAATAAATAATTATTATAAGAATTTATTTAAAAGTGTATCAGACAGGAAAAGTTAACGAAAAAATTATAAATTGTAAGTACTATTTTACTTTAGGTGGTTTATTTTGTCAACATATTTTTAAACCGTTAATAGTGTTATAAAACATTTAAAATTAAATTTAATTATATTAGCTTGCAGTTAAAGCAAATATTTTGGAAAAGTATAGCATAAAAACATGATTTCATCTTGTATAATGCAGGACTGAAGCTTCTTTTCATAGTGTAGACAGTTTGCTTTTAATCCGGAAAGTTCAAACTAAACTTTCTAATTTGTTTTAATCTATATATAATCATAAATAATACAATCAGTACATAATAATAATTATGTAATTTTCTGCAAAAAAGCTTCTGCAACAGAACATTATTTTCGGTACTATTTAATATATTTTCGATATTATAAATTTTATTTACATGAAAAAATATGTTTTTATACTCATAAAGTTTTATTTTTAAGCTTGAGTTTCTGTTGTTTATATAGGTATTAGCTTATTATTAATCATGTAAGGAATATACGTTATTTTGTGTGTGTATGTAATGACCTGAGGCTCAGTGCGAGACCAAAGTGTTGTATCAGTCCATTTCTTCAAATTATAAAGAATGGGACTGCACAATTATTGCTTAAGCGTCTTTATCATTATCTTATATTTGCATCTAATTTCAAATAATCAGCTTTAAAACACAAATGTAAAGTATAAAAGTAAGCATCTTTCTTATATATAGGAAGCAACCAACACAGATTAAGACCCAAAACTAAAAAGTTTTACTTCTTTGTTTTAGAAAAGAGAGGAGCAGTTAGTTTGTAATTTTTATTTCTTTTTGTTGGTCTAGTATTATTTCGCTACTGTTTCTTATTTGAAGATTTAAATTTTAAAATCGTTGGAACAATGTTTTAAAAGCCTTTATTGTATAACTCTGAACTGGTATCGCAGAGACCGTCTGTTGTATGTTGATGACATTAAACGTTTAAATGACCATGCTAATAAAAAAATGGAGTTTCAAATGCATCAGCTGTGAACTTTAAGAAAGAACAGTCTCCTGATTAAATTAGTAAAGCGATTTCAAAGTATTTTAGGAATCTCTTTTTAATAAATTTCGCGTTATGCAGTTTCTGTGAGAGATATTATCCTCCACGAAGGCATCCCTCCCCTTGGGCTGATAGCCCTCAAGTGCTTTGCTAAAATTAATAATTTAAATGAACAAAATTAAATAAACAAATAATTAATAATAAACAAAATAGTAATTAAATAAACAAAATGAGAGACCTTAATTAATGACGTTACCGGCCAATGTAAGAATCCCGAAAAGGACTCCCATTTATAAGAAAAAAAAAAGAAAAAGGTGATAAAACAAATATTACTTTCGAGTTTTAGAGGATGTTTTTAGTACTTACAAAAATATATATATATATATATATAGTCAGACATACTGTTGTAATTCAAGCCTTTCATATTAACCAAACATTGACTTTCAAAACTGAAGCAGACATACTTAAAAACTGTAGATATTATGGATATAAATGATGACTAAATATTATTAGATGATTTTTTGTCTTCTATTTCAAATGCCACATGAATTTCTTACATTTAGTTTAACACACCGTAGTCAATATGAACAAATGCAAGAGTTTGCTGGTTTTCCAATTTTAGGTGACATTATATATGTTAATTTTGCTTACAGTGTTGTGCATTTACATATCGTTCTTGCTTGTTATTGTTTTAGATTTTATGGGTTATTTGATATCACAATAAATTCAAACATTTTGTCTTCAAAAAGGTTTCGACTATTGAAAATATTGCAAGAACGCTCGACTTTTATAAAGCGAAGGAAATCTTCAACTTGAATTAAAGCCTTTATTATATATTATACACATCTTTGCGGTTACAGAAATGTTGCAAAAAATTAAATAAAACATTTAATGTGATTGAAATGCTATATAAAATGTCTGGATAAAAGATTTCCGTACTACGCCGTAAAATATCCTCAAAATGTAAAAGATTTCAACATTTGTTAAGGAGAGAAAAAATTATTCATGTAGATTGCGTTTTGAAAGCATTTATGAAATTCTCTTTCTCAGAATTGCCGCCTGCTCCTTCCCTGTTTGTGTTGGCTACGTCTCCTACTTCCGTTAGCCTACGTTGGAGTACTAGAAAAATAGACAATCCTCTGACTGGTACGTATTACAGAGTTTATTTCTCTCAGAGAAAAAAACTAATAAATATAAGCTATCTTTACGAAAACAGATCACATAAGGAAAATATCACTAACAATTTATGCATTTCCTGATTATTACAATCTCATTTATTTTATTAAAATGTCAATCTTAAATCGATAATTTAATGGAGACAAATCTGTATTCTTTGATATATAATGTAACATCTCGTTTTGATACATTTTGTATGGCACTGTGGTTCAGTATGCGAGAGAAAACTTCTCAAGAACTTGAAAATGAGTAGAAAGTTTTTAGTCTTTACAGTAAAACTTTCTCTGAGTTTATATGATTATATGCAAGAACACAAGCTTATTTAGTAAAGTTTCAACAAGTAATTAAAATCTGTTATATTTTTTAGCTGCATGTTATTCGTTATTTATTTTTCCTTGATAAGAATTTTATGAAGTTAACAAGGAACATTTTTAGCAATATTTTTCTTAGTTTATTGAATTGCTAGTGCTAAAATATCATTCTCTTTACATATCAATGTTACCCGTGTTGTTTTAATATTTTTAGACTACAATTTAGCAATTGTTATAGTTTTGTGCAATTAATTCACTTGCTAAATAAAATGAGTCTGACTTTTAACTCCAATCACAATCTAAAAATGAACCGTTTTCTGAAGGGGCAATGATTTAATAGAATCGTTTGTGTCCTATCAATATTAAATGCTGAAACCAAATTTATTTTTATCTGTATAACTATCCTAAAGTGATTTAGAATTCTAAAATTCATTCCTGTTTTCAACTTTTTAGTTTCTTTCTGTTTGAATGCAATGATTTAACAGAATCGTTTGTGTCCTATCAATATTAAATGCTGAAACCAAATTTATTTTTTTTCTTCATAACTATCCTAAAGTGATTTAGGAATTCTAAAATTCATAGTTTTCAATTTTTAAGTTTCTTTCTGTTTGAATGTTTAACATTTCGAAGAACTCAACAGTGGTCGGATTTCAGTTTTTTGCATGTGAGGTTACATTATAAAAACTATAAGATATTACATTATAAGGGTATTAATATCAAAGTCGCTCTTCAGAAACTGTATTTCACTAAAGTTCCAAGTAAATCTAGCATAACTAAAGAAAGTTTCATTTATTTCCGATTAATAGAATTTCTTTATTATTTTTCGTTTTACGATTATAATGTATTCCTAAATAATTTTATTGAATCCTCACCTTACTGTTAACTTCTGACAGGTTATACAGTTCACTATAGAGAAGAACAGGGCCAATGGCAGGAAGTGGCTGTTGTTGCCCCAGAAGATAATACCTACACGCTTAGTAATTTGCAACCTGAGAGACTCTACCAGATATATGTAACTGCCACTAACCAATACGGAAAGGGAGATCCTAGCGAAATAGTTGCTATTAAGACAGAAGAGGGAGGTAAGTCTGTTATATTTTACTTTTAATGCAATATAACTTGTATTTCGAAATTTCGTTTATTTTGGTATTTTATAATTTCGCTTTTATGCCGGATAAAGTGAAAACAATGTTTTTATATTATCATGATATTAAATCTTGCAGAATTGCTTTTTATAACATCTTTACTCAATCTATCGATATTTAACTTATTTAGGAATGTTAAAAAATCTAGAATAAAAAAAATATAAAAAATAATAAAAAATTACTTCAAGATGCTATGTTTGCGTGAATTTAACACTTTTCAAATGTTGTGAGATTGTGTACGATTCATTGGATAAAACAATGAATACTACAACTGATAAAATATAACTTAAGTTATCAATAGATTAATTTGTAATTCCGTTTATCACAGTTAATTAATTACCTTATGAAGTATAAAATAAGAGGTTAGATCTTTACATCGAAGTATTAATGTATAATAGATGTATAAAATTTCACTTCTCTAGAAAAAGCAGTAAAACTATTTAATTTTTTTTCAATCTTAAAACTTGTTATACTACCTTACGGCCTTCTTTAAATATATTATTGACAATACCTGTTCCGATTATTTTCCTGGCCCACCAGCGACCGAACACTGGTAGTTTCAACCATTCGAATCCAGATGAAAGGGCTGGTTGCATGAGCATTTTCCGGTAACGTGTATACAAAATAATTTCTCTTGGAGAGTTCTCCCCGAAGGCATAGCCGGATTTAGACTTGATAAGGCCTTAAGCTATTTGAGATATAAAGCCATTTATACTATATTTTAATACTATATTTATACTATATTATAATTTATGGGGACCCTAAGCTTATACGTAAATCCTGCACTGCACGTAGGCTTTCCTTCTCGTAGGAAGATTGCATTTAGTGTGCTTTGCCATAATAAACTAAACCAAACCGATTAGTTTCCTGGAATATAAATATGCAGTCTGATGCTTGCTTCTGTGCTTTAAAAGGATTTAATGTTTTGATTGCATCTAAGGAATTGACACTTTTGTCACTATGCAACATTTATAAATTAAAGAAGAATGAAGACATATTTTTTCGTAAATTTAAAGTAAAAATATAGACCTTAGTTCTTTTTCTTCATTTTATTTCACTGTGTACTGCATATAAATGAAAAAAAAAACTCTTAATTTAGCTAATAAATTTAACTTTTGATAATTTGTTGAATGTTTTTAATGGCCGGACGTTTTATTTAATAGATTTATTTAAAGTTTTATTTAAAGTTATGCCACTACAATTAGTAATGGCGCAAGTCTAATAGCGCCACTACAAGGGCCGAAAATGGTGGCCATTTCATTATGGAAGCAACTAATTGGTGGCCCTGTTGCCTCCTGTAAAAAGGGACGGACAGTTACAACCTTGCCTTCTCTAGGAACCATCGCTATGGTTATCATAGTCGCTAACCACTATACTGGCTAGGCGGCAATTTGCTGAATGTAGTAGTCCGTTTATAGTTAAATGTGTAATATGTAATGAAAAATTTACTTCTAAAGAAATCTATGCGTCTTAAGATGCTTTCAACCTTTGATGTTTTAAAAATTTACTCCAAATTAAACAAGTTTCTTGCAGTACTTACCTTCTGTATATAACTTAAATTTTTTAAGCATAAATTTAGAGCCAAAAATTATATTTTTAGTACATATTTTAGTAATACTGCAGCCCGAAAGACTATTCCCTAACCTTATCAGTTTTTTTATTCTAAAATTGTTAATCGAAGATATGCTACATTCTTAGAGCGTTTCAGAGAAGCGCTTTGTGTTATCTCTATGGAAATTTCTTAGCCATACACAAGATTTTCCCGATATAAAAGAAATGTTGCATTCCCTGTACAATAACTTTGTAGTCATGCACAGATCTTCCCATCCCGAAAGAACAAACACATGTGTTGCCATGATAAAAAAATGTTTCAACAGACAGATGATTTTTCTGCCGAGAAGAAACTTTTTGTTTTGCGTGTTTGGAAGCTTCCAAGTCATACAAATAATCTTCCTCCACGAAAACGTAAACTTGTTGCATCACCTGTATAGAAACTTCCTGGTCGCACACAAAATTTTCTCATCTCAAACTAGCAAAGAAAGTTATCTTTCCTTTTGTGGAAACTTCCTAGCCACACAGAGGATTTTACTGAACAAAGAAGGGTCTTGTGTTACCTGTATAGCAACTTCCTAGTCATACAGAAATTTTTCCCGCCATTAACGAACAAAGAATTATAATACATCGCCTGTACAGAGACTTCCCAGTCATACACAATATTTTCCCGCTTTAAAAGAACAAGGGATTGTCATGTGTTGCCTGTATGGAAACTTCCTAGTCATGCAGAGTTTCCCGCCTTAATCGGAACAAAGAACACGTTTGCCCCTGTTTTGAGTTTTTTCTGTTCAGCAGCACGAACAAAGAACCTTTTCTTCTCGTTATCCCAGAGCATTTTCAATGTTGTCTTTTAACTTGACACTCGTGTATTGCAGAGAAACACAAATGCATGGCAAGAAAAACCACCGCATAGGCGATAATTCAGGATCTTGAGTTTATAGTTATATTTAAAGAAAACATCATGTCGATTTACTTGTGCATTCGAGGGGAAAAAATTATTTGTACTTTTTTATTTTATTTAGAAATTTTTAAAGGAATGAAAAATACAAAATTTTCTAATACGGTCGTTTATCTCCTTTCCTTATTATTTAATAATTACTTCCGAATGCAAATATTGTTTCTAATCGGTCATTACTTTTTTTAAATAGGAAACGTATAATTTTAAATGCATAATCAAACGCACAGTGCTGGATTGATTTTTATATTTTGAATGTAATTGTAACTTTGCATCATTTCTTTAAAGTTGGACACTACAGAAAAGAAGAGGCATACATTTATACAGTAAAGACGTTAGGAGGAGAAAGACTGGACGGATCGAAGAATTTGGCAAGACGAAAATATGCAATTAAACTGATTTTTTTAATATTGGAAATAACGAATAATTAATGCTTAATTATGAATTAAACTTTAACATTAATTTTTAATTTATCCGATTACATTTTATTTATTAGGTTTAAAGAAATGTTAATTGATAACATTATTTGTTTATGTTTAAAAAATTAAGAATTTTACTTGCTAAAATTATCTCAAGAAATTAATCTTACGCTAGGTAGACGCTTTCTCCGATCTCATTTTAACCCAATTCTTCTTTAAGTGACCATATTCTTTTGTCATGTCTGGAATCGAGTCTGTATTGGCTGTTCTAAAAAAAAGTACATTGTACACGTAGGAAGCTTGTTATTTTGATCATGAAGTAAAATAAATAAAAGACCTGCTAATCATAACTTTGAAACTTCACAAGCTTCCGCTTCATTTCTTTAGTTTCTCCCGCTTATCAAATGTGCCTTAATTTGAAATGATGAAAGCTAATAAGCAGAAATAAAATATGCTAATCGAAGAAATTAAATCGGAAGCAATGGAACCTGTGATTGGATATTTGAATTAATTACATCCGAGGAAAAAAAATTTCAAGGAACTAAATTAAAATAATAATCGTAAAAGTTATCGACATATTAAACAAACATTTATATGCAGAATTTATATATATATATTTTTAATCTGATTTATTACCTATAAATGCTATTCTTTCAATATCTTTCGAATTAACATATTATCCGTTTATTCATCCTAAAATCAGATCTATTAACTAACGATTAATCAAAAATATTATGTTATTATTTCTGATTTATTTAATTCGTTTATGCAAATTAATATTTTAATTTATTAAAGCTTTACTTTTAATGTACTGAATGCAGTAAGTACAGAACAAAATTAATACTTTCGGGATGTATTTAGCACAATTTTGCTTTTCGAAATTTTTAACTATTTATTTAGAAGCTGAAATAAAAATATTACGCTATATTTACGTCTCTTTCCGGTGGAAAGAAGGTTGCCTGATAATATACGCATGGAATAATCCAAGCATAATTATGCATGGAAGGATTTGGAAAATTGAACTTCTAGTCAATTTTAAAGTGCTCAAAGACACGGAATATCCTTCTCTGTTTATCGCCGCCGAAATTATACTCTTTTTAAGAACAAAATCTGGATGATGATCTAATTTACACTGATACATATGTGACGAAAACTGTCGGCGCAAAACATTTGCAAAGGACAGCATTTTAAAGGACCAATGACAACGCAAGAGAAGAAAAGGGAGAAAACTTTCATTCGAATTACATCAGATTATAAGATTAAAACTGCTTAAATGTGAATTTTTTAATATTTTTATTGTCTAAAACATTCTCTGTTTTCTATTATAACAGATGGTCATTCACTTTTGTCAGTGGCAAGCCTAGGACATAATGGTAACTACATGGACATGGCAGTTGTCATCCCAGTTACTGCGTCTTTGGTGACCATAACTATCGTACTCATTGTTGCATGTATGTGTGTAAGAAAAATAAGGAGTCGTCATAACTTGGAAAGAGGTAAGGATGATTTCTTTGGTTAATTATTAGAGTGATGAAAAATATTTTATTGACTTCGCTAATTTTAATTTATGCTAAAGGAAATTTAATTAATTTTTAATAATATGACATTTTAAAGTTAGTTACCTTAAAGTGTGTCTGAAAAATATGAATTTTTCCTTGAATTCTTGTTTAAATTATGTTTATGTTCGAATGATTCTTATAAGCTATTTTTTTTTTACATTCTCATATTGTTTTCGCAATACCTCGGCCTACCAGCGGCCGAGCGGTAAAGTAGCTGAACACTGGTAGTTCGGTCCGAAGTTCAAATCCCGCGAACGGGCTGGGTGCATGGGCGTTTTCGTGTTTTTTCCTCATGTGTAACGAGCATATGAGCCAGTTTCCCTTAGAAAGTAATGCATGGTTTTTACATTTCTTTGGATTTTAAATTTTAATTAATTTTGAAATTTTAATCCGATCACATTTAAAAGCATGAACATTATATCTATGCACTATTCTATAATTTCTTTTTCTTAAATTCTGTGATTAAAATGTATGTTTTCAGTTAATCTATTCTCTGTTATGTCTTTTTTCCGTATAAATATGCGAACTCATTAATTTGTGTAATCAAATAAATTTAAAATATGTATTAACTTCAAAACATGAGTTAATAAATGATTTGCATAACATATTTTTATTCAAATAGCAAAATTATTTTTTATTTGTAAAATAATAGAAAAATCTGATCACCCCTCCCCGAATAAAATTTGACTGTTCTTCCATGTAATTTAACATTATGCTGTTAATGTTAAATGACTATATGTGTATTTACACAAAGTAATACATAATCTGAGAAATGTTTAGAAGTTTCTGAAACATGCTGCACTTTGCAGAAAAGCAAACGATTCTGGTTTCTTAATTTGAAAATTCTTAGCTTCCTTATAAATTTAACCATTAGATTTAATTTGTTTAAAACCAGTTTTCAAAACTTCTTTTGCCCACCAGCGGCCGAGCGGTAAAATCGCTAAACATTGGTAGGTTTCCGGGTTCAATTCCTGGCGAACGGGCTTGCTGCTTTTCGTGGTTTTCCCCATGTGTAACGTGTATATGAGCCAGTTTTTTTTAAAAGGTCTTCCACAAAGGCATGCCTTCCTTTATGCAAATAGCCTTAGTGTCCTTTGCTCTTATCAACTAAATCAAAATCTTCTTTTACCTTTATTAGACATCAAATGTAATAACATAAAATAACTGAAAGAAAATTCGATAATTCATATAGACTTTTGTAATGCTTACGTTTATTATTTAATTTTGAAAATATGTACTATTTTTATTAAAATAAAAGCATTAAGCATTTCAATTGCATACAAACGTCAGTAAGACAATTGTTTATGGTAACCTTACTAAAAATGTGTTCACCAACAAAGATCAGCCAAGATGAGAATTTTTTTTTCCCCCAGTAGTGATTGATTGGCTAAAGCCATAGCGCACTGGTAATTCAGCACTACTTCTCTTTCTGGATAATGAAAGTCTTGTTGGTTTCATGCTGCCCATATGATAAAAATTCAAGCGAATTTCACGCGGAAAGTTTTGATAAACTCATCCACCTCTCCTAAAAGCGCTGGGGAGTACATTACAATAATTAAATACATAAATATCTAAGCTATTCACTCACCCGTCCCTTTATTTATATATTGGAATATAACAAAGGCCTTTTTAAGTAAATCTTGTTCGATGATACGAATAGGTTACTTCGCATTAATTGATATCGCTTAAATTAATACCGTTCTTTGTTACTATGTTTCTCATATAATAACTAATGTTAGCGTTTTAAGCTGGTATCGCATATGAAAGCATCTCGAAAAAACAACTGTTTTGAGCCACTTTTGCGCCTTATCATATGATTAAAATTTCAATCAATCGCTATGGGTCACCAGGATTATTATTATTTAAAGACGAACAGATACTCCGTAATAACTATAGTGATTTGATTCTGAATCAGGTCAGTTTAAATACGTACAATGGACAAGATTTAGCGGTAGGGAGAGAACAATCGTGAATCTTTCTTTCTGTGGTAAATGCAGCAGAAAATTGTTCGAAAAGATTGACTGTCTGAAACAGAGGACTGAGGGATAGTGCTTTTATAGGACTTTTATTCATAAACTTTCTAAGCACCGATGGGGAGGGGAATAGGGTTATACTTTTATAATTTATTTTTTTCTTTTCTAATATGAAATTTAATTAACCTTAATAGATTAGATTTTGAGTTTTCGCATTCAACAAGATATTTGCTAATATTATAATCAAGTTTCATAAATTTAGCAGAATTTAATTTGTTGTTAATTGTGTTTCATTAGAGTTAAGTATTGTTTTAAAGTCCTTCTCAGAAGGGGAAAAAAGATCCGATTATTACATTTAAAAATGCAATATATAAAACTCCTCTAAATTCAAAATGACTATATAGAGAGAGTTAAGATTATCTGATTTTAAAAAGCAGGATATTGCATTCTTTACACCACAATATATGCATGATATCGAAGCTGGGGAAAATGGTTACAGCCGAAAACATCGCGGCAAAAACATCGCGGACGATAACGTCGCGGAGAAAACAACGCAAGGCGAAAACGTCGTGCTACAAAACATCGTGGGAGAAAACATCGCAAAGAGAAAACATCGCAGTTCTAAAACATCTTGGTACAAAACATCGTCATCGAAAATAAAGCAGTTCAAAAACTTCGCAATTTAAAAACATCGTCGTCGAAAATATCGTGGTAAAAAATATCGTATCTACAAATCATCGTTTGACGATAACATCGCGGACATGCTTTTTTCATACATGCTTTTCGCAAACATGCGTTAATAACTGTAAATGGATATTCCCATAATGATTTGTGAGCGCAAAATGGAAAGAAGGATAATTTTTACTTTCACATTTTTTTATTAATTAATAACTTTTTTCTGAAAAAGTAAGAAGGAAACTTAAGCATAGCAAATTAATGCAACTTATAGCAGTTAATAGAATTTTAAACCGACATAGTTAACTAACAAAGTCCATTAATAAATAATTTTTATAAAGTTTTTACTAGTCATTTTTCGTGAAAGTATAATCTATAAGTTGCATTTAATTTTCTATGCTTAAGTTTCCTTCTTACTTTTTCAGAAAAATTTATTAGTTAATAAAAATGTGAAAGTAAAAATTATCCTTCTTTACATTTTGCGCTCACAAATCTTTATGCGAATATTCATTTACAGTTATTAAAGCATGTATGGAAAAAGCATGTCTGCGATGTTACGTCATGCGATGATTTGTAGATACTTTATTTTTTACCACGATATTTTCGACGACGATGTTTTTAAACTGCGAAGTTTTTGAACCGCTTTATTTTCGACGACGATGTTTTGTACCACGATGTTTTATGACTGCGATATTTTCTCTTTGCGATGATTTCTCCCACGATGTTTTGTAGCACGATGTTTTCGCCTTGCGTTGTTTTCTCCGCGACGTTTTCGTCCGCGATGTTTTCGCCGCGATGTTATCGGCGGACACCGGGGAAAATTTCGAACATTTCGTGTTTGCATTGTTATGAGTTTTTGTATTCAACGTAAAGAATACAATTTAGTGTATAATTTCTTTTTGTTATTATTTTGCAGCTATTGCAGCCGAGAAGAATTACGCATTGGCGGCTGGAACTCTTCAGCGATATGTCGATATAGATAAGACACGGTCTCTTATGGATCCTAGCCGCGCTGGTCATTATCCCTTGCCTTACGAGACTATCCAGATGATGTCTGAAGAGCAGGATCCTTCCTTTGCCAAAAGAGGCGGTAATCAGGAACTTCGAGCCTTCATAGGGAAGGTGAGGAATTCTTTATCAAAAACTCTTTTACTGAAACGTTTGATTACAAAATCATCTGTAAAGTCATTTGACTGAAAAATCATTGTACCAGTTTTTCAGAATTTTAGGTAAAATTATTAAAACAATTCATCATCTCTAATTTTAGTAATGTTTATATATATATATACACTGAAGTGACAAAAGTCATGGGATAGCAATATGCAAATATACAGATGGCAGTAGTATCGCGTAGAAAATGTATAAATGCGAAGTGCTTTGGCAGGGCTTTCATTTGTGTTCAAGTTATTCATGTGAAGATGCTTTGACGTGATTATGGCCGCACGACGAGAATTAACAGACTTTGAACGCGGAATGGTAGTTGGAGCTAGATGCATGGGTCATCCCATTTCGTATATCTTTAGGGAATTCAACATTCCGAGATCCAAAGTGTCAAGAGTGTACCGAGAGTATCTAATTTCAGGCATAACATCCCACCATGGACAGTGCAGTGGCCGACCACCTGCACTTAACGACCGAGACCAGCGACGTCTGCGTAGAGTTGTCAATGTTCACAGACAAGCAACACTACGTCAAATAACCGCTGAAATCAATGTGGGACGTACGAGGGACGGACGTGTCCGATAGGACAGTGCGGCGAAATTTGTCTTCCTTGGGCTATGCCAGCAGAAGACCGACTCGAGTGCCTTTACTGACAGCACGACATCGCCTGCAGCGACTCTCGTGGGCTCGTGAGCATATCGGTTGGTCCCTAAACGAATGAAAAACCGTGGCTTGGTCAGATGAGTCACGATTTCAGTTGGTAAGAGCTGACAAGGCACTATTCAAGCTGGTGGTGGTTCCATAATGGTCTGGGCTGTTTTTACATGGCATGGACTTGGTCCTCTGGTGCAACTGAACCGATCATTTACTGGAAATGGATACTTTCAGCTACTTGGAGATCACTTACAGCCATTCATTGACTTCACGTACTCAAACAACGATGGGATTTTTATGGATAACAATGCGCCATGTCACCGGGCCACAATTGTTCGCGATTGGTTAGAACATTCTGGACAATTCCAGCGAATAATCTGGCCACCTAGACCGCCCGACCTGAATCCCATCGAACATTTATAGGACATCATCGAGAGGTCATTTCGTGCCCAAAACCCTGCACCGTCAACACTTTCGCAATTATGGACGTCTATAGAGGCAGCATGGCTCAATATTCCTGTAGGGGACTTCCAACGACTTGTTGAGTCCATGCCACGTCGAGTTGCCGCACTTCGCCGGGCAAAAGGAGGACCGACAAAATATTAGGAGGTATCCCATGACTTTTGTCAGTTCAGTGTATATATATGAATGAACTCTATGAATAGATGAATTAATATTTTGCATGAATTCCTCTATCCTAAGTCAACCCTCTTCCGAGAAATCGGCAATAATTTACTAACTTTTTTATACATGTACTGTTCTACTTTATGTGTAAACTAGTCGTTTCCTTTTATAAATGTATGATTTTAAAGCATATCGTTGCAATTATATACGTACTTCCTTTAGTTACAGGTTTTTAATAGTTTTAATGCAGTCCTCTTAAGTATTAACATTTCCTAATTTCAATTTGCAATAGGTTTACGTTTTTGCTTTTATCCGGTAATAATAATAATGATATTCTTGCTAAATTCTTAACTAATCCATAGAAATGAAGTCGAACATAGCATTTCTGTCTGTAATCTTGTCACAGTGTCGTAAATATCGTAAACTTCGCACTCATTTCATGCTGCTGTGTACTATTAACATGACGCCTGCTCTTTATCATTTGAACAGTGTAGTCAATATAAGAAACCCATGCATGCATATATTGCTTTATTGCGTTTTAGTCAGCGAATGATGCTTAAAATAAAGATATGCGTCAAAATGGCCATGACTGTGTAATACAAAAGCATTGAGAAAAATTTTCATTATGCACACATATGTATACCCATATTTAGTATATAAACTAAAACTCAAATTTGAAGGTAATAAGTTTTAAAAAATTAAGAAAATAATAAAAAAAGTGGTGAAAGCTGCAGTTATTTAGTGGTAAACAGAAAATACTTTTAAAAATCTAGTCTTAATTTTAAAATTATATTCTAATTAAAAATCAAGAATAAGTACAAATAGGGAAATAAAACATTGCATACCAAATGTAATTGCCACAGAGATCTGAAAAAGTGAAACTCAACCGTAAAAGATCATAAAAAGGAAAACTTTTACGTTCTCGTGACATTTTCAAATAGTTGTTATCTCGAGATTCACCAAACACAGTGTCTCTTCCGAGCTAACTAACAAACAATTTAATAAATCTAAGAAAATATTAAATAAGAATATTAGATGATATTGCTCATTAGTTGCCCAGCTATACAGAAATGACAGGCTAGAACGTAGCACTTGGCTAAAGTTTATTCGTAAAATAATGAAAATAAAATTTTATTATGAATGTGAACTGAAAAACGATTGGAAATATAAAAAATAAAAATGTAAGCGAAAAAATGAAAATACAAAAGGAATAGTTGCATTCAATAGCTGTAGAATTATCAATAATTTAAAAATTGTATCACTAATCACTTAACGACGCAATCATTTGTTTACATTTGAAAGTTAGCATCATAGTGAATTAAGTCGGTTTGTACACCAATTTCAGTGTCTTTTTGGGGAGTGGAGCGAAAAATCTGCTTGATTTTAATTAATTTAAACTCTTAATTTTAATTGTAAATTTTTTTAACGGTTTTTAACTCTATTTAGATTTTTAGGTTTTTATGTCTTTTACAATTATTTAAAGAAGATGTTTTGAATTTTGATGTGTTTTCCCCCTAGCCGGGAAATGAGAACTGAATTGATTGAATGAGAAATATATTTCTGATGAAATTCGGGAAAATAAGTTTAAATGTAATGCAGCAAAAAATGTGCATAACTTAATATGCCGTACAAGGAATTCATGTGTGTCCACATCAGATTTTTTTTATTTCAGTTTCTTATCTATTTCAAGAAAAAAGTCAGTAAATGTTTGGCACTTAAATTTATCTTTTAGCAAGATTCAGATTATATTCACATGTCAGAAGGCCTATATAGCCGTATGCAGTAGGCTTTACGTTTTTCTAAAGGATTTTGCTTAATTTGGTTTTACGTTGTTTACATTGCTGATAATTCTACAATATGATAATTCTACAGTTATTCTGGTTAAGGTATAAAAACCTTAACCAGAACATAAGAACAATATAATTCAATCCCTTTTAAAGCAAAAAATGCACAATTTACCAACGTATAAAAATAAAAATCTTAGCTCAGCGAGCTGGGTAACAAAGCTGGGTAATATATATGTATATATTTTGTGCAGCCGATTGCTGCGCATCTACATATTATAGCAGTGCCATATACAGAATTCCAAGATTCTAAGGCTACTCATTTTTGAGGTATGAAAGACTTACATAATGCACGTACCTACAGACATCAAGAAAAAAATATCTTCTGAATCCATTTCACAATACGTTTTGGAAGAAATTCCTTTATTCTGTCCGTATGTACAGATGTAACGCGAAAACATTGTTCAAATGTAATCGAGAGCGGTCAAAATGGATATTTTTATTGAAATACGACCCGAAATATTTCGCGATTACAATACTTCGTTTACTTCGTACAAGGAAATAAAAACACAGAATGAGGACAGGTGTAAAGCTCGGTATAAGCTTACAGGTGTAAAGCTGACTGTAACCGTAGATTCATTAGGGTATTCTGAAGCAGAAGATATGACAAATATGCAGTACCCTCCCCGGGACTCAAACCTGGACCTCTTGAATACGCGCCGAGTGTGCTAAAAAGAGAGCAAGCTTTCGTGGTGTACCCAGGAAAGCCTGCTGGAAAGAGGAAGGAAATATCTCATAAACATTTAATTTTAATGTGATTCGTGTTATAATTTTATAAGTAGAAGATATTTCCTTAAAGAAATGAATTCAAATAATGCTTTACTGAAACAGTTGTCAAACTCTCTAATTGAAAATAATTTTTGTAATTAACTCTCTTGTGCATAACTTGTGCAATATAACTAAAGATATTATATCATATGTCAATATGATTGAAATGAAATTTAATATGATTAGAAATTAATAACATTTTACTATATTTGTATATTGCTTTTCAGGATGGCCAGCAAACGTTATATAACAAGCCAATGACATTGAGAAGAAAAGACGAGAATATATATGATAGTCCACAATAAATCGTAGTTGTGTACAAAAACTTTTTGAACAAGACAAACTAAACAGAAACTATATTTCCGAATTTCATAATCTTCGTACAAGATTGAATTCAATTTGTGGTAATAACTCTTGTGCCTCAATATACGAAAGGATCGTGCCATCAGTCAGCCCAGTATGCAAATTCTTAGTGTTTTACTGACATACACTAACATTTCGTGACAACTCGAAGACTGACTCACTGTGGCGTTCGAGTTTTGCGCTTTTGAGTGGTGTTCCAGATTTGCTTAGATCGTTCTTTTTTTGTGTGTATGCGCTGTTTTTCGCTTTCTGAACTAACTATCGGCTTTGCAGTTCGTTAGGAATTCATGATGTGCACATTCACTGCTGTTCTACGTTCTCATTTTAGTTTGCCAATCATTCGGACGACTTATTAGAGTTTAATTTTTAGTTTAGCATTTACTATGATGCATACAAGGAAATAAACCTTTCAAACAGCACCCGGGCAAAGTTTTAAAATTTGAATGTTCTCTTTCCTTTTGCTTAAAATATAGAGACTAAACGTTGATGGTATTAATGTCCGCTTATGATGACAATTTTTAAGAGAATGAGAAATGTTAGTTTGTATAAATTTCGGGAATTCAAGCTTTTTTTATACATCGTGTTTTGTATGAAATGCCTGAAAGACCAAAAACCAGATTTTGTAGGTGCGAAAGAACTTCGAAGACCTCCATGCGATGTATTATTTCCTACTTTTCGAATGAAAGATTTGATTCCAGTATCACCGAATCAAAGCGAGTGTGTGTTGTGAACCTTTTAAACCTTCGAAACTTTAAATGGCTTCCGATAATTAATGTCAGCTACTTGCTGCTGTAAACCTTGGAGTCCCTGATGATAAAGGAAGAGATATCTTGACATCAAAGAAACTGTTTTAGGAGCAAAATGCATTGTTAAATATTCTGGATTTTGTGAATGTCATTTATATTTTCTAAAATATCGTTTGATGTCTTTAAGCCAGAATATGTCTTGCGTTATGATACATTAAAACTAATATTTGCATGATACGATTAAAGCAGGTTCATTTTCTAATAAATCTTCTAAAAGTGGAAGACGACTACGAGGAATCTCGTTTTCTTACCAAAAGACGTTAATATGAGTGTTACATGTTTTATATGCTTAGACGGAAAATTTTCTCGTTATTAAGGAAATTTTAACTTTTGTTTCCGTATATCTTACTTTTTCAAACTATTTTTGTACGCAGCTTAATTGAAATTTTTGAACTTACGCAGCTTAATTGAAATTTTTGAACTTACGCAGCTTAACTGAAATTTTGCGTATGACCACTTTCAGGTTTATAAATGCACGTAATATATCATATGTATGAACTTGTTAAAACGATATTTAACTAAGATATATGTATGTAAATTTGAGCAATTACATGATTAAACAAACTCGGGAATTTATTTGATGTGCGATTTTAAAATTTCTTTAATTACATAACAATTTCAAATTTATATGATTTAAAATGCAAATTCATTCACTAACTCCGTTTAAAATTTTTATTAATGTAATTGCGTTACATTTTTGAAATGAAAAGTTATTTCATTCATTCAAAAGTATTTTAACACCTAAGATAACAGTTAAAAAGAGAAATAATTGTACATGTGTTGCATCTTATCTTGTTTGCATTGTTGTTAATTATAAAGTATTCCTATCAATTATTTTGTATTTAACTGATTGGATATTAACAAAATACAATGATTTTTATATTAGCAGTCCACAAAACCTTCTTTGCAATTTATTGTTTAAAGTATGATAAAATGTTAATTGCCCGTTTCTTTAAAATGATGTAATTGAAAAACGCTAACAAAAATTTATTAAGAGTTTGAGTGTTTTTGTAAAACAAAAAAGGAAATATGTGAATTCCTTTAAATATAAATTTTCCTCTTATATTTGTAATACAGAAATATTAAATTAAGTTTTTTGGAGTTGAAAAATTAACAGATATTTAGTAAAGATCCCTTTATTTTATTTTTTACAAAGTTATCCCACAGAGTGTTATTGCATTAGTTGAACGATGGTTTCATCTTTCTAATATCAGAAAACATTTTTTAAAACGTTTTAAGGAAAATTTTCTTAAAATCGGTTCATTTCTGTTTAGTTTGTTTTTAATATAACAGAGGAACGATAATTCTTCACCGAAACGCAATTTCAACATTTTTGAAATACAAATATTTATATTCCGCCAAAAAATACCTTGTTTGAATTTATGCAGTTACTATTTTAAAATTGTGCAAATGAGGTATTTAATTTTCTAAAATCTCTGTGAATTCAGGCATAATTCACTCTGTGTGAGATTACGATTAAAATTTAATGCTTCTGTATTCAAATAATAACAGTTTATTTTAGCAGTTACTAACTTTCTCTTGATATTGTTATTTTGTAAGCTTAGTATGTTAATAACTATTTAAGGTATTTAACCTCGGAATTAAACATTTGTAAACTTTATTTTTTACAATTTTCAAATTGTAGGCAATTATGAGGAGTTTCGTAATTGCATGAACACATCATCTGCTTTACTATCTCTGAATGTGTCATGCTTTTACGTGTAATAAATGTTCCTGATGGCATTTAGTGGCGAAAGTATGTGACAATTTTTATTAAACCCGCATGTAAACAAGCCACTCTGATATATACAGGCAATTTTCAATAATATTCAAATGTAAATAAAAAGTTCTTCTTAGCCACTTTTGGTTCTGTTTTTATTCTTGCATGTTTAAGTTTTACACGTGTGTATAAATAGCTAATTCGGCGATTCAAATTTGCATATTTTTTTTTAATTTTCTATTAACATCTGAAAGACATGTTTTTATTTAGGTGCCTCCGTAATAAAGTGACCCCCGCTTTTGGCCTAAAGCGTGGCCAAAGCCTATAGTGCCAACGTGGTGTCCGCCATTGGAAATATAAAAAAAAATAATAAATAGCATTTTAAAAATTTTAATGGCCAGGATTATTAATAGGATATTTCCTATTTATTGCCGCGCATTTTTATTGTTGTAATGTTAATTTTTTGTCAAATAACATTATTAATAATAATACTTATGATATAATAATACATATTTTTATAAAAATTCAAGTTATATATTTGCTGAATTTAACGTTTTAAAATTTATTAAAAACTTCATTGAACAACAACACTGAGTATTACTTTCTTTTAAAGGAAGTGAAACAGATATATGATTTCCTAGTCGTTTAGATTACAGGGAAGCTCTCTTTTTAGCCCAAAGAAGCCTTAGCCTAGAAAGGCTATTAGTCTTGAAACGGCATTTTGTGTCGAATAAACAGCTGTATCACATTTAAAATTGTTGCCACGAAATATTATCACCCTGTATTATATTTAAAGAAATTAAATAAGGAAAAATCTGTATGTTTATCGAACTGTGAAAAACAACGATCACTAGAACCATCAAATTTTAAATAACGTAGGTCCACCACCCGAATAGAGGCACCTAGAAGCTCGAATCTTGAATTTCGAAGTTGTCTTATTATCTGTTTCATATTCTTTCAATAGCGAATTTTTTATTAAGAAACTCAATGATTTCAGGGATGCATGGAGATTTTCATCATGTGCAACGAGCCAGTTTGTCTTTGAAAGGCCTCCACGAAAGCCTCCCTTTCCTTACGCATAATCAGACGAGCCAAATCTGACGAATAGCACAACTTTGATAGCTATAAGTCACTTTGAAAAAGAGCAACAAGATCAGATTTTTGTTTTGTTAAAAATATAACACCTTTTAATAAAAATAATCCTCTTAAACTTCGCCTTGTTGGCATTCAGAACAGTTCTGAAGAACTAAATTATTTAGAAGCAGTAGCTATTGACAGGGACTTTTTACCCAACATTATTTCGCAAGCAGTTAAGAAATTCCCATCTCAAAACGCCAGAAGACACACTCTTGTTTTAGTAAATTATAAGAATTCCGTTGTCATTCCTTTCTTTCCATCAATTATCTATAAAACTGCATTTACAGAAATTTACTTTTAGGGTTGTTTATTGTCCTATCAATAAGATTCGGAGTTCCATACTTAAGGCCCTCATTCCGGATATGAATTCCTGGGGTATTTACAGGATTCCTTGCCAGTGTCGTTTAATTTACATTAGTCAAACTAAGAGAGCCTTAAAATTTCGTGTTAAAAAACATGAGGCATATGTTGGGAAAAAGGATACACAGAAATCCTCTGTTGCCCAGCATGGTTGGTCCATAAATCACACTTTCCAGTTTTCTGCAGCCAAAATTATTCAAAAAACACTTCCTTTGTTGAATTAGATTTTCTAGAGGGGTTTCAAGTTCAGAAACAAATCTTCCTGCTCTAATTAACAACCCTAATTCCAATCCATTTTTACCTTCGGCCTTTAAGGAAAATAGGTTTGTTTCATTTATAGATGGCGCCAGTAGCTTATATTATCCAGCCATTCTTATCGTGTCTCGTTTATTTGCACTTTGGCAGTTGAGGATGATGGTTCGGTATAACCATCGAAACTAGTCCTGTGAAAATTTGCAAATATAACGCTGATTTTTGTTGACTGACTTCTAAATTAATAAATCATAAATACCTCAAAATATTTTGTTCGAAGATTTCACATAATTCGAATATTCTTTTGCTTTGTTGACGTATGAAGAGTGAGTGGATTTAAGATGCCTTTTTAATTTTGATGGCTCCATGGCCAAAACATTATTGCCGATTAAACAAAGAGGTTGAAGATTACCACACAGTTATTGAAAGTAAAGTCAAATTGGAATAGTATCTTTGCCACATCATAGATGCATCTTTTTCTTTCTGATTACTAGATCCTCCTTGAACAGTCTTCGTAGCAGTGCCATCTGCTTCATTACCTTTGTTACTCGAATTCAACCATTTATCCATAGATAAAAAATATTTTATCTTAAAATATAAATAATATTTCTTATAATAATTATTTAAAGAAATTCCAAATTTAACTGAGTAATACCTGGTTATAACGAAAGTTCCAAACATTTTTCTCAGGCATCTTAACTGGCTTCACTAAGCGTTCTTCGAAACCGCCCCACGAGGCAGCCCTTTCGAGGATAAATTTTCATTTGATACATAACTATCCAATAGATTTTGCACCACTGAATCTTTTATGATTTTCACAGCAGATTCAGGTCTCGATTTGCCTTGTGGAATAACTTCGTATTATCACCTTAGATTGCGCTGCAAATGGTACTTCTGATATTGTCAGAAGTCACTGGCTTCGAACAAAATTTCTGACATTAAATGAATTTATATATAAGAATTTTAATTCTTTATCACACTCTTAAAATCTATGTCGTTTACCTTAAAAGAGCCAGTGTTTCTGCTAAGCCTTCGTGCTTGAATCTTTTATGTAATCCTTAATAAAAATGCTGCTTTCTGCGGGTTCATTGGATTCGGAGTAATTGATGGCAACATTTTATGAAGAATCAAAGCGCAATTTATTCGCCAGTAAGTTCTATTACTCAGGAGAGTTCCAAAGACACTTTTACACTCGTCGAAAAACTACGACAAACACGCTGAAACAGATAGCAATACAACCTGCAGGCCATAACGCTAAAGTACAGCTCCCGACTCGGTCGATCGCTCTAAGCTGATCTCTGAACTCAAGGCACTACTTCCTCTCCGTACACGCAGGGTATGTCTAGCTTTAACCATCCTTCGAGATTATTTCTGAGAAAAACGCTAAAAATGCGTACTAGAATTTTCTCGCTCCGTCTATGACATATCGTTATTTTTTCGCCAAATATCGCCATATAGGCGATTTCGCCCCAAATATGCAATCCTGCCTTTTACTGTCACTTCCTGGCAACACTAAGCCCGCCGTTGCCTCACGCTGCTCAGCCGGCAGACTTCCTTCTCCGCTCCGCTTTGCGGAAAGGCCACCTCACTGTACGGCCGTTGAACATTTCGCAGCAGATCAGACAAGCACTTGGCAACAAAACTGGATGTATTTCTTGACGCAAAATATTAGTATACTGAAAACGTCCTCCAATTAAAATCATTCCCATTTTATCTAGAATAAAGTTAAGCGAGCTAATGATAGAATGGGTTCACCACTGGTTTTCCTTGGTTTTTTTTTTTTTTTTTCCTTAAAGGTAAATATTTTTAAAGAAAGTACTCCTGTCGTATCCTTTCAGTCCGCTACTGTTCAACCAACTGAATTTCTGTAGTTAAGCAGTCATTCTTTCTGTTGTGTAGATTCTTCATACTGTAAATAAATGAATCTAACCTGTGATTCTTCATATTTTGCTAGGTTTGCTGAATTTCTGTATGTCAGAGAGCTTCTAATTTAGTTCCTACAAAAAAATAATAATGGATTCTTTTCTTTCAGATTCAACCAAATGCGAAATTTTATTCAATTGCAGCCAAACGTTTTCATTTCTCCCTCATCCAGGGTACTCCATTTCAACCGAGTTATTTTCCCTTCAGAGTACCCGCGTTCTCTACCCTCTAAACAGCATATTTGCAGTTTAACCCCCCCGAACAGTGAACTGTAAAACAGTGATTCCGCTAACCTAAATTAAAAAGAGTTATAATTTTTTACATTCTGTATTTTACGAACATATTTAATTTTCGATAGTTGTTATTGATTCCAGTGAAGAATAATCATGGAACCCCCAGAAACAAGGTTTAGTATCTTTCTTAAGTCTGAAGTTGTTTCGATGGCTTTGAAATATTCTAGCTCCTACAGGAACTATAAGAATTTCTAATCTAAGCGATGTTCTTTCCTCTACGAGTGCAATCGTATTTTTGAGGCTACTAAAACTGAATTAAGTTTTCCATTTGGATCGCTGCAACATATATAAATCTCAGCTCCGTAGGCTCATTTAATTGAATCTACAAAACAATGAAATTGAAAATTAGCTAATTCGTTAAACCTAAGTCATTACCTTTAGTGCAAAAAATGCTGCGTTAATGTAATTTCGTTCAAATAGTGCAGTTCTTCACATCATTCTCGAACATATTTTGCCAAATCCGGTGGTAAGAGATCAACCCAGTTTAGTCTTCTTTTTCATATTTCTTGAAGTATCATTTTTGCTCTGACTGTTAACAGAGAAATAAGTCAAATTAGGTGAAATATCATTTTAAGAATTTTTATCACGCCTCTGTTCGATGGTTTGAATTCAGATGCGTTGTACTTATTCACCAATTTTTCTTCATCATTGTTTATGCAATTTTAATCTGAATTTCAGCAATATCCATGACGAAGCATCAGAAATAATTTTCTCGTGATGTCTTGAAGTAGCTGCAATTTTGTTCCCCACTTTTCACGCTAAATCCTCCTTCTCCTAAAACAAATTTCGCTTGCTGATGCATTTCTGTCGCAAACTCCTCTTCTTGTAAACTATTGTATTAATCAATCAACTACTATACCACTCTTGGGTACAGCAGTTGCATCTAAGGGGATATCATGTGGCTGAAACCTTCTTATTAGGAAGGAGGCACTGTTTTGGCCGCGATGTTCGTGGCATTTAAAAACTGGCCTGTGCCCTTTGCCTGCCTTCTACCGAATTTTGGCGAGGATGCGTTTAAAAAAACCACGCAGGATGTGTAAATGTTAGAACCGGCGTCAAATGCCGATTGTCCATCTGCTGTCTTCCGTGTACGTGTTGTTTCGTTGTACGTGTTTTCGTTGTTACGTGTTTCCTCTCCGATACCAGGAAATTCGCTCGTGTATTTTATGCACCGA